TACTAAACCAATAACAAGTGTGAAATTGGAAAGTAGTCATTAATGAGTTATATGGTTGAAGACTTATATTGAGAATCAAAAATTGCTTCTAGAAAATTGCCTGTACTAAAAACTAAAAGGAGTTAGGTGGCTTAAACCACAGATCGACTAGAGTAAAACGAAAATCCACTATGTATAGAACACGTTGGAAAGTGTAAACAACAAATTTGCCAAGAGTTTTAGGTATAATTATATGCATTTAGGAATGTGTAAGTTCTTTGACTAAAAATTAAAAGACTCCTCCTTTGCTTCTCTCTTCCAAGCCTATTCTTTAATTTAGTTAATTTTGTCATTTTGCAAGATGATTGCTTCAAAATTTCCCAAAATCTATCTGCTTAATCACTTGCAGCGGACAATAACTCTAGCCTACATATATTTACAAGTAGTGTTGTCTTCTAATAGTTCATTGTTATAGTCATTGTGAGCATAATAACAGTACTCCCTCCGTCCCATATTATAAGCAATCTTGTACTAAATTACTTAGATTAAAGTAGCAGTTAAAATTGGTTAAAAACAATAAATATATAAAAATTGAAAATTTTCTCTTCAAAATATCCTCATTTATGCTGGGAAAATTATGAAAGACAGAGAATGGTAATTGTTGCTTACATTATGAAAGAAAGAGAATGAGAGAATTATTTATTAGGGATAAAATAGAAAATTTCTCATAAAAATTTAAGACAACCATTAAAAGTTGCTTCTATTCTAGGACAAGGGGAAGATGGTAGTTATTACTTATAATATGGGACGGAGGGAGTATTAATTATTATAACTACCCTCCATCCAACAATAACATAAGATATCTTCTAAAATTTTTCATGGTCCATTATTAGGCTCTTTGAAAATCTGGTGAAACGTTTATGACGTATATTTCCAAAAATAATGTCGGGAAAAAAGTTCTAAAAATACTATTTATGTAATTAACCCTCAATTAATTGGAATATATTATCTTTGACTTTTTCACAGAAAACAATCCCGCAATCCATTAGGAGTTGGCGGTAATTAATTAATACAATTTATGTAATTTACCTGTGCTTCTAGTTTTTCTTAATGCTATTTATAAATAACCTTATTAAATTTTTAATATAAATATAATAATTTGTCCAGCATTTATTATATTGTAGATAGTTTATTTTTAAAGATAGTAGCTATACTAAATAGGAATAATATTGAGAAATTGCTATATTTTAAAGGATGATTTAATACAATTTAAGTTTTTTTTTTCAGTTTGTTTTTGTTGTTGGATGAATTGTGTATTTTAACTTCTCAGTATGCAAGAATTGGTGATTATAGTGATGAGTTGAAAGAGGTGCAAGACTTAGATATGGGTATTGTGTGTTTAAGTTTAAATCATGGTCGGCACTTTATGATCATATAATAATCATGGTAGGCCTTCCTACATTATTTCTGTTCATTACAACCATGTGTTTGAGTTAAACCCTCTTCTTGTTGAAGTACTTTTTTCTGCTTATGGTTAAGGCACCTTTAAGAAGGCAGAGAAGTGGCCATGAACTGTGTGTGTAATTCAAATGTCTCTTACTACTAATAGCAATATGTATTTAGAACATGCACGGCTGTATCCATCAGACCCTTTCTAATTAAACAGAGTATATCCACTGGCAGAACACAACCAGATTCCATCATATCCCACGAAGTTCTTTCTTAACAGGAGTAAAATTGATCAGATTAAAAAAATCCTTCACTCACTTTATCAGCTTCATATATACACACACACATTACTTCTAATCCTAAATATAAGATCTAGTTTGTGACATAAATTAAAAAATACAAATTAAAATTATAGTATAAACTAATTTTTATATTTAAAATCAGAAGTTGTGCATGTGTACATATATTTAAAGAAGTATATCAATATTTTATAAAATATCCATGTCAACAGGGCTAGGTCTACTCCGCTCATCTCCGGCCAGCATCTATAATTTGTGTTCTTAAGACATTGAAAGATTTCTTTTATGGGGGATAAAAACGGTCATAAGTATTTAATTTTAAACATCAAAAGCGTGACCGAACGAACATAAATTCAATACACTAAAATAAGAAATTCATTTATACTGAATATAATATTGCTAGAATATGAATATTGGATGCATTAATTACTTATTGAATGAAAACTTCAAATAAAATGAAATGACCAACATTGATTATAAAAAAATGCATAATAAATTTTTGAAAATATTGAAATTAACAATACTCTCAACTTTTAACTATTTACAGTACTACCTCCGGTCCTAATTATAAGACCCAGTTGACTTATTTGAAGAGATTAAGGAAGTAAGTTAAGATAGTTATTTGTAATAAATAAGTATTCTTATTCCTAAAATATCCTTGCTAATTAAATGTATTGGTTAGAACTATCATTATTAAAAGGATTATCTTAAAAAAAAATACATAAATATGAGAGATAAAATAGATTGGGGTCTTATAATTAGAACCAAACAAAAAGTCAAACAGAGTCTTATATTAAGGACCGGCGGTAGTATCATTTATAAATAATTTTTAATAGTTTAACTTGTGAGTAATTAAAATAATTACAGACTTACAGCCAATAAGTGCATATGTTCAAATCTGAGCCGTTATCCTTCCCCCCCCCCAAAAACGCTCCAAAGTATGCCACGTCATCCATTTTGAAAACGTTTTCGACGTTAATAATGTGCAGCATTATAAACTCATCAGTTTGGATCATCACATCTTATTTTGATGGTCTAAATTTAACTTTTTATTTATTTAAAATACTTATTTTAATATATATAAAATCTAAAATAGAAATAACCTCCTAATAATAATTAAATATTTTAAATATTTATTGTTTAAATTAGATATAAACGGCAGAAATCTGATAAGTCTAAGAAGTTATATTCCCTGATTAGACGCATTTAGAACAACTGATAAATAAGTTTTTAATATTTTTAATAATGATTTAAAGGATACAAAACAAATATGTGAAAAGAGTTTTATTTTAAAACGTACTTATAGAAAATTTTTTAAAACCTCCCAAACAGGCGCTTAAGCTTTACCGTGCTCATGGTTGTATCAGATAAATAACTTTTCTCTCCCTTTCCCTCATTATCTCTCATTCTCAGTTTCGAAAGCCTTTCACACTCATTCTCCTCTCCGCCGGTCGAAAGCAGAGCGTTGCAGCTTCTCCACTGTGACGTCCGTCGGATCTTCACTATCACATCCGTCGCATCTCCACCGTGAGCGCCGTCCAGTGCTGGGACCCTAAATATGCCGTTTGTAATGTAGTAGCAGTCAGTCCCGTGATGCGCACAATGAAGGAGAAGCCGATGGTTTGTTAGTTCCCTTTCGCTGTTCCCAACCCACTGGTTTGGGGTCCTCCACTTACCCATCAGTCTAAGGCTTCTCACCAGTCGCATCGTCGCGTGTTCGATTTCGCGTCTGCATATCCAAGGTTTCGGGGTTCTCTTATTCGATTGCCAAAATTGATCGTACGTTTTGTTCTCCCTTGATCCCATTTTGATTATTTACTGCCGAGATTCTTAATATTTCTTCTCTGTATGATATTCAAGACCTATTTAACTATTTAATTAATTTAATTAAATTAAAAAATTAGGTAAGATAATTAATTATAAAAAATATAACATGTTTTTTAAATATCATAATCATTTTTTAATATTCTCTTTCTTTCTTTTTCTTGATTATGGTTTTGTAAAATTTATAAGGATAATTTAAAAAAATTGATAAATATGAAAAATATGTTTTATATTTAGAATCAAAATTAGCTTAACAATTAAATCAGAGGAGTATATATGAATTAAGGTTTTAAAATATATTTCAGTATTTAAATTCCGTTTTTTCATATTAAAATAATTCAAATTAATTGTATTGTTTAAATTTATTTTTTATCATTTTTTATTGTTTAATAAAATTTATATCTATTTTTGATAATTTTATAAATTAAACTTATTTTTTAATCATAATCCAAACAATCTTCTACTTCATTTAATTTTTATAAACTAACTTTTATAGAATCTAATCCAAAACAAAATTTATATCACTTAATTTAATTTTTACCTAATCTAATTTTTTTAAAAAAATTAAATTGAAAATAAGTTATTTTTTTTCATCCTAATCCCAACAAACCCAAATTATTGGATTCTGATTGTCATGGCCACAGATATCAATTATCAGATAAAGATGCAAGCTGGCGTCGTGGTAAGAGAGAAGATAAGATAAGATAGCACGTTGGATTGCTGGCTCCTTTCCACTTCACCCACTTTGAAAAGGTTTTCCGCTATGCTTATTTTTGGCCTTTAGAAAAAGTTAAGCATGCTCTCCTTTTCTTTTCCTTTTGGCAACACATCAATTCAATTATGCTTTCTTCTTACTTAGTGCTCTTTTCTTTTTTCTTTTACCTTTCATGCATTAGTACATCTCAATTTGCAGAATATTAAAAGGATAGTGATTAATGGAAGTTCATAGCTATAATCGTGGTTTAATAAATTTTAAGGTTTTAAGTTCATAATTTGTGCTTGTTTAATATTTATAAAACTTATTATTTTATAGTTTTTAAACTTATTTTATAAAACTTAAATTAATATTTCAATGGTTATAGGTCTGTCATCATGATATAAGGGGCCTGAATTTTGCTACCTAGGGCTTCGAAAATTAATATTTTATAGTTTGGATGACTCGTGTGTTGTGTTTCGAAAAGTGGCACCTGGTAGTGGTGGGGGCAACACTGTTGAAAATTTGAATTTTGAAAGTCCATTTGGAAATTAGAGGTATGATTAATCCTTACATTTTCTTTGTTGGTCAATAATTAGCGCTTACTTTACGACCTCCATTATTCCACCATAATCATATCATGTGAAAATATTCCAAAAAACTATCCATTTTATCTATTATTAGTATTATTTTGTGTTGATTAGGAGGCTCAAATTTTCACCGTCTGCAACATAACAGCTTTAGTTAATTGAGCTATGGAAGGGAGGCGTAATTTTAACGGCATAGTTGCAGAGCCACTCACGAGAAACAGCAGTGGTGATTGGTTCGAATGGGTTAAGAACTATTTGATATCTCGAGATCTTTGGAAAGTGACAAGCAGTAGTAGGGCCAGACCAGAGAGATATCGTGTCAAAGATTTTGCCAAATGGAGAAGAAACAATGCCGCAGCATTACATGTCATTCGTATCTCTTGTGGGCCTCACAATCACTTTCTTATAAGAGGGCTCTCTGAAGCCAAACGTGCATGGGACATTCTCTATGATACCTACAATAATAATGAACCGGCCCCTGCACCGGCCTCTCCTCCAGGTCAGTCCCTTATATATTTCATTAGCGGTGTATGTGGAAAAATCCTTTAGTAATTAGGGCAGCAGCTCTCTCACAAGAGTCATCTCCACAAAATTAATTTACTCAAAATATATGGTCCTTCTTTGTTTGTAAGGCTACTAACAATTCTCTCATTGCCCTCCTACTCAAAATATAGTTGAGTGGTGATTACAGAGTTAACGGAGGCAGAAGAATTAGAGATGAGTAATATGCGCAAGGCCATAGCTGAAAACAACTGGTCGGCTGCGAAAGCATTCATTGATCGCCATCCTCAGGTGTTGATCGTAGATTTTGCAACTTCAATGGGCGAAACACCTCTTCATGTGGCTGCGAAGTTTGGGCATCTGGTCGTAGTAGAGGAGTTAGTGAGATTAAAATATCTGGAGATATGCGATGCTTATTATAACAACACTCCACTTGCAATAGCTGCTTCACATGGTGAACTCATCCCGGTTGCAACATGCTTGATCAACAAAAATAGAAAGGCATTTGCAATTCCAACTGGAAACGACTAGGACATTCCTGCTACCTTGGCTTTTTATTCTAGCCACAAAGAAATGGGACGTTATCTTTATTCTGTCACTCCTTTGGAAGTCTTCAAACTAGGAAACGGCACTGTGGGGCCTGAGTTCCTCCACGCCTCTTTTTGAGAAGTGGAGAATTAGGTAGCATAACTACTTTTAGATAAATAATTTTATGCACAGCGTAATAATATATGCGTTTCATTTTCATTTGGGTTAAGGTATATTTTAGTCCTGAAAGTTTTCAGGAAGGAATTGCAGGTATCCAGAAATATTTTTTGAAGCAATGTGGCCTCAGAAGTGGCAAACTCGTTGCAATGTCGTCATATTTCAACGGAGTTGAACGGTTAACTGTTAGTTGAACAATTTGTGTTGGGGTGGTTCTATCATATAGGGTAGTCCGCCACATAATAAAAATGAAATACCAAACATGTCCCTTTCTTCTTCCTCCTCCACCACACGTTCTTTCGGAAGAAACCAAAAACAAATGTAGACCTGAATATTTATGGGCTTACCTTCATCCCTCACTGTTCAACCTCTTGTTCTGTTTTTATTTTTCTAATATTTCTGGCTTTATAATCATGTTTGTTGTTTGGTTTTGAATTTGGATTTCAAAATCTATTGTGATTTTTTTTTGTTGATTTTAATTAATGAAGTTGGTCATAGTGAGGCTTGTGTATTTGGAGAGCTACTGTGAAGAGCTGAAGATACCCACAAATATCATAATCAATCCAAACTGCCATTGCTGTGTGAAATTTTGGTCGACACTGATGCTATGCCAGAGTCTCTTTGATGCTCTTAAAATTTCTCTATGACATGCTTGAGTCTCCCGTATGAATGGCATTTTGAAATACTCCAATTAGTTGAGACTTGAGTCTCCTGAAGAAATTAAGAGCAAAAACATGAAGGTTGCCGTAGGTTGTCGAGGAAGACAGTGAGAATAACAAAGGGCAGGGGCGCGAATATCTAGAAAGAAGATGAAGAAGCCATGGAATGATCTAAACTAAAATTCTCCATGGATGCGGATGATAATGATGAAGGGTAGAGATTTGCGTTTTTCTAGATTCGTTTTTCTTCTCATATTGCTTAATTGTTGATCCAAACTTCTTTTATGGGACTGATGATAATGATGCAGGGGAAAGATTTCTTTTATTTATTTATTTTAACAGTAAGGATTATGATGATGTGGCATGTTATGTGACATAATATTTAATATGACAGATCCACCTCAGTACACATTGGTCAACGAAAACTTTCAGTACAAAAATGTCATTTTACCCTTTTCATTTTCCCCCGTCAGTTTATACATGTGGCCGTTTTCCATTTCCCATACTATATGACGTTGGTGCATAAATAGATATTGCCTTGGATTTGCTCCAACGATGCAAGGAGCTGCTTTTTGCTACTGATGCAGACAAGGAACCAACAATTCAGAATATTGCACGCTATCTTTCTAATTCTTTGGACATAAGTCAACTTCCGTTCTGGAATCGATAACCGTATCACTGTTAGTGCACATTATTACTTTCTACTACTCTCTGTTTTTCCCCACAATTTCTTTATGTTGTTTGCTCATTTTAATTATATACTAGCCAAAACGGTGAATTATGATGATGAGGATAAAGATGGTGAAGATGAAGTTATTTTAACTGCCACTGGTATTCATCTACTAAGGCTCTTTGAAAATTTAAGAATGTGGTGGCCTCAATAGCTGATGGCGAGATCTCAAATACCTTGCTGCATGTGGCAGCCCTGTCGGCTCCTTCTTCCTACCTTAATGGCATCCCTGGTGCCGCATTACAGATGCAGAGAGAACTGCAATGGTTCAAGGTTATTAAGAAGTGAAATTTAATGCTTTTTCCTTCGATACTTTGTGTCTTTCATTAATTGCTTATTATGTATTTATTTTCTGTAAGCATAGGCTGTTGAGAGTATGGTGAATCCTGCAGATAGGCTAGCTGTAAACAAGATGGGGCTGAACCCCATAGAATTTTTCAGAGAAAACCACATGTTTAGGAATAGTCACATCACGCTATGCAGAAGAAGGCTAGCTGTCTTTCTATGCTGTTTCTTTCTATTGCAACCATGATGATTTCCTTTTTAGCAACCATAATGATCATGGTGCAATATAATTTTTCACGTTTATGGGACCATAATTATCATGGTGCAATATAATTTTTCACATTTATGGGTTACTGTTCTTTTTATTATGCTTGCTGGTGTTCCAATAATCCTCTTTGTATTATTACAATTCCCTCTTCTTGTTGGAGTATTCTTGTCTACTTATGGTCCAAGCCTCTTCAAGAAGGTAGTGAAATGGCCATGAACTGTGCATGTAATTATTTCACATCTTAGCATAATATGTATTATCCTAGAGGATGAAATATGTACTTTATGTATTTTCTGTTGAATAAGAAATTTCTGATCCCCTTGAATCTTATCATGTAAATAAAGCATCTGGTTTTATTTTTAGCCTAATCGTATCATCATGCTTTGCACATCTAGATGAAGTGAACACCGTTAGGAGCTCATAATTGAATCTGCAGTAGGGTCCATTTTCATGGCCCTCTACAAGCTTCATGTGTTTGTACGCACAGTAGGTTGTCACCGTAGGGTCCGATTTTGTTGTTAAAATACTGTCACGTGAATATATTTGATAGAAGATCTTATTGTCCTTTGACTATTTTTCTCCTATTATTTTCGGAATGTCGGACATTTCTTAATTATTTAATAATGAATTATTCCAGCAAATTCCAACAAAAGTGATGAGGTGCATGTGGTGACTGCTCAACAGTTATACTTCAATTTGATTCCCACCCGTAAACCGCTGTAACTTGTCAACAAATTGATCCGGTGGGACCACCAGCCACTACCCCAAAAGTATAAGGCTTGAGTCTAGCCTTAACATATTTACGCCCATATATTTTAATTATATAAAATAAAAAAGAAATTAAAATAATTTGAAAAAGATCCACCGTCTCTGATCATAATTGTTTCCTATTTCATTTTACACGATTTTCTACCACCATTTAGAAAAAAATAAAAAATTAGATAAAAATTCAAATAATATGAAAACGCAGCACAATCTTTCATTCACGTACTTGTGTTAATAAAGAAGCATTATTTATGTTCACCCAAAAAAGAGGAGCATTATTTATGAAAAAACTTTGTAGCAATGACAAATTAAAACCGGCAAAAACTGTTTTGTTTTAATTTTACCCAACTGTTTCAGGTTGTTGGAGGAGAAAAATAAATTTTGAACTCTCTTAAAACACTGAAAGATTTGTTTTATATATGAAGTAAAACAACAGTTATATGTAGTTGTTTTTAAATATCAGAAGCATGATTGAATCAACACAGATAAAATTAAAAAAATTAATTCGTATGAAATATAATATTAGTATAATATGAATATCTGATACATTAACTTTTTATTGAACGTAAACTGAAAATAAAACGAAATTACCAATAATATTTCTGATTATTATGGAAAACACATAACAACAATTTCTTAAGATATGGAGATTATTACTATCCTCAATTTTTAGTTATTTATAGTATTATTCAAAAATAAAAGTGATTATGAAGAATGTTTAATATAATTCGAGGAATAACAAGATTTTTTTAACGTAATTAAGCACATCGATACCTTTCAGCTAAAAAAATTACATTAAAACCTATTAATTAATGGTTGAAATAATAAAAAGTTTTGTTATTTTAAGTTATGCCTAATTAAAAATAATTGTATTGAACAAGGGCACATATTCTGTTTAATTTGCACAAATTCAAACAGGCACAAACAGTCAAATGTGATGCATAATTTTAGAACTTTGGTGCAAAAATTACTAAAAACAAGATTTGCATAACAAGATGGGGAAATTTCTATAAAAGGAACTTCCAAATTACTAAATCTCAAATAAAAAATTCCTACAAAAATGTGTTATTATTTAGTAGTAAAAAAAATGAGTTAAGATGTATTCAACACTCCGAAATATTTTCTCGAATGTATCTAGCTCTCTAAAATATTTTGTAGTACATTCAGCACTTTGAAGTGTTTTCTCGGATATATCCAGCACCGTGAATTTTTTTCTGCATCTAACATCTCAAAATATTTTTTTTAGATGCATCCAACGTCCAAAAATGTTTTTTGGTGCATCCAGCATTAAAGCAAAAAAAAAAATTTCAGAATATTGGATGCACCTAAAAAATACTTTAAGGTGCTAGATGCATATAAGAAAATATTCCAGGATACTAAATGCACTTTAACCCAAAAACTATTAAAGTATAGGAAACAATTCTGATTTGAGATTAGTAATGTTTATGTTCCTTGTGTAAGATTTTCTCTAGAAGATATGCCGCATTTTAGTGAATTGATAATCTTCAATTCAAGTCCAAGTCGGTTGCTTCACCAATGCTTCAGATTATGCCACGTCAGCGTTCCCCGGTCTCCTAGACACGTTTGCCTTTTGTTTCCATTCCCTTATCTTTCTTTTTTTCCTCCCCCCCCCCCGGGAAAACCATTTTCCTTGCTTCTTGCCTGCTTGAGATCTACTGGATTCAATTTAAAGGAAATTAAAAAGCATATGGTGCTTTCATTCCTCCAGGGAAAGAATAGACTCAAGTCCACAGTTATATAATACTTTCTTGTGCAAACGTTGGTTAGACCGGCCGGTTTTAGTTTTAAATGCTCTCATCTAAGGTGTAGAAGCTAATTAAAGATTGATTTTAATTCTAAATATAGAATTTTAATACACTTTATCTCTCATATTTATTATTTCTTTTTAAACTACCTGAATTGATTGATACTCACTCGATTAGCAGTATTACCAATCAAATTCAAATAGATACAAGACATTTTCTATACATGTGTATTTTAGAAAAAATCATGTCAATAATTTGTAATCATTAATTAATTTATTCAATTTTCTTAATATATTCAAATTAGTAGTTAAGTAGCTTTTGCATTAAAAACTCAATGAAGAGTATTAAATATT